ATCAGTTCTCAACAGTCTCTTATGCTTTGGCTCTCTCCCACTCTAACCTCTTTTTTTTTTTTTTCTTCCCCTCCCCCATGGGTTCCTGTTAAGTTTCTCAGGATCCACATAAGAGTGAAAACATATGGTATCTGTCTTTTTCTGTATGGCTTATTTCACTTAGCATCACACTCTCCAGTTCCATCCACGTTGCTACAAAAGGCCATATTTCATTGTTTCTCATTGCCACGTAGTATTCCATTGTGTATATAAACCACAATTTCTTTATCCATTCATCAGTTGATGGACATTTAGGCTCTTTCCATAATTTGGCTATTAACAAACACTATTTTAAACCAGAATTGTATAAGACAACCCTAAGTGAACAATCTAAATTAACTAGTCAAATTTTATGCACTGAAATTTCTACTTTTAAATTGTCTAACATTTAATTGGGTGTACTTTTTGTTAGTAAACCACATCAATATTAATATAAAAGTATAAAACAGGGGTGCCTGGGTGGCTCAGTCGGTTAAGCATCCAACTTAGGCTCAGCTCATGATCTCACGGCTCGTGAGTTCAAGTCCCACATTGGGCCCTGCACTGACAGGTCAGAGCCTGGAGCCTGCTTCAGATTCTGTGTCCCCCTCTCTCTCTGCCCATCCCTGCTCATGTTCTGTCTCTCTCTGTCTCTCAAAAATAAATAAATGTTAAAAAAAAGATTAAAAAAATATAAAAGTACAGAACAAACTTCTACCGTCTTAGATTTTTAAAAATCTTACAAATAAAACAAAACCATGCTTGTTGGTATCAGTTGTTTTGCAATCTAGCTTGGAATCTATATTTTAATTTCTTCTCTTACATATTATCTTTGAATAATGAAATTTTAAAGACACTAACCAGATGGAGGTATGTGTCCATCATCTATGCTTCCAAATTCTCCCTTCTTCTCCAGGCATTCAGGAGGAGCAAACCCATTTTGACAATGGCAGTGATTCAAATTGTTGCAAATCTGGAGTAATCAGAAAATAGAACGTTTTTTTGTGGACCAAGATGGTTCAATAGAGACCAATGAATATTCTAAACTTATTCAACAGAGAATTTATTTCAGAGAGTTTATCCATTCCAGAGAATTTAACTTGAATAGACAAATTCAATAATTTTCACAAATTTTCTCTTGAAATTGTTCATACTTTAGTAAGTATATTTAGCTTCTGCTGCCAAAGCATTTTTTAAAAAATTCTTCATATCTTTCCACAACCAGACCCAAATATTGGTAATTACTGGTAACATGCCACTAATTATCATTCAGTTGATAGTTTCACAGAACAGCCCAGATTCTAACGAGCAAGACTAGTAAGAAAATTCTAATGACCTTGTTTACAGTTTCTACCTCTATTCTGTGAAAATAAGATTATTTTGGTTGTATAATAATTCATGGTGCATATAGCACATTTGCACCATATATTTACCAAATACTTTATACATCCAGAGTCATCTTAAATGTTTCTACTTTATCTTCTCTAATAAACAGTTTGGCAAGACTTCTTGAGAAAATAAGATTGAAGTTATAAATTATAGACTATTAAATGACACCTAGCAGCATGAAAATGATTTTTAGTCATTTTAATTATTTTTTAAAAAGTCTCCAAACTGTTTACTGAAATGTTAAACATGTTGCTTAAAATGAAAATTGAAATTACTTACTCCATGGCTATTGCAATGATGAGAAGAATTGCACGTTTGATAATTTACCTGGTATTGGATTTCTACACAGTTAAAGTTGACACAGTACTGAAAGCAAAAGGAAGTGAAAATAGGCATAATAATCAGATTGTGTGCCTGGATAATACAGAAGAAAAATACAAGAAAATTTCACAACTCAAACTTTCAAGAATTGGCATAAAAATACCAAAAAAAAGTAATAATTGAAACATTGAAATAAATGTGAAATAAGCTATTTGCCTTCAGATTATAAAGATGTAACCACATGTGAGAAGTTAGAAGTTTTATTTTCTTACCATCTAACACTAAAAACCCTCTTAAAAAGAGAACTTTCTGGAAGAATAATTTGACTAATTCCTGGAGTTCAAGAATTATCTAAAAAGTGTTTAAAAAATACCCATGCCTGGGCTGCATCTGAGACATTTATACCGAAATTTCTGGGGGCAGGGTCCCCTCATTATTGCAAGCAGTTAAGGTTGAGAACTATGAGGTGGAAGGTTGAGATCTTAATATCACGGTATGAGCAGCAAAGGAAGACAGCTTATGATTCCATGTTAAAAAAAAATGAGGAGAAAGAGAACAGCAAGGATGACAGATAATTATTTGAGATAATAGGGCAATGAAAGATTCCCAACTATGAGATGGCTAAAAAGCCTTCAAAGAAAATGAATGTTTAATTTGTGGATTTACACGGTTCTAATTTATGGCATTAATTTTTGTGACTTTTTTCATTTATTGAAAAATTTTCAGTAAATTCAGTACTTTGTGAAAGGATTTTACTTTTTGAGTAAATTTTGTGTTTGGATCATAGTAACAACCAGGTGTGCAGAAAGAGGAGGACCAGGACACTGGAAAAAAGAGATCTGATACACTATCATTTAGAATTGAAGGGTAAAGAGACCACAGATCAAATTTGTATTCCACATGCTTCCAGATGAGCAAGATGTTACTGAAACTTTGGTTATTTTCATGGACTATTATCAAAATATATTATATAGAAATAAATTTGAATTTAGCAAGCACATCTTGAGACTTTCTCTCAAAAAATGTATGTCAGTTGGGGTGCTGGTGTGGCTCAGATGGTTAAGCATCTGACTCTTGGTTTTTGGCTCAGGTCATGATCTCACAGTTCATGAGATCGAGTCCCATGTTGGGCTCTGCACTGACAGTGTGGAGCCTGTTTGGGATTCTCTCTCTCCCTCTCTGCCCCTCTCTCTCTCTCTCTCGCTCTCTCAAAAATAAACATTTTTTTTAAAAAATGGTAAGCTTAGAAATAAAATGGAGTAGACCTTGTCTAACTATATCCTTACCCAGATATAATGTCTGGAAGCCAAGGAACTGGATACACTAAGTGACCAGAAATGCCTCCTGCATTCTCTTTCACTCATTTAACAAACTTATTTAAAAAATTCTTGAAGAATTATATTCACAGATATAGGATGTGGGGCTTAAGCTGGCATGAATTAGACAATTTTCAGACCACACTACGAAGCTACGGAGGATTTACTAGAATCCTTTACATTCAGAAGCATCAGGCCACATGGAAACAAACTACTAATTCACGATCCAAGGGATACGATGTAATTATACAGGACTGAATTAAATGATGAGGAAAATTAATTGTGGTTTCTTTTATATTTTTTTACTTTTCTGATGGTACGTGAGGAAGCCCTTTTCCTTTCTACTTGTTGCATCCCTAATCCTCAATTTAGTATCTATGCTTTTATAACTAAAGCAGTTTAAAACTAGTAACTGATTCTCACTGATTCCTCAAACATCAGAAACAATATTCTTACTGTTTCTTTTACTTGTCATGGCAATGCAGGCTTAAAAAATTTTAAGGACTTATGCTTCCAGTCAGATTAAAATAGCAAGGTCCAGAATTACCTTTCTACCATAAAAAAGTAGAAAAATAGGTAAAGAATAGGAAACAACTATTTCTGGAGAATGGAAAACAAGCAGCACAAAACTATTATCTCAGAAAAAAGAAAGACAAATTAGGTGAGGCCTCCCACTGTCCAGGCTCTCTGCCTAAAAGGAATTTCCTGACTAAGGTATAGTGAGATGACACCCAAACACAGCTTAAAAATCTAATAGACAGAGATTTGGGTAAATGAAGGTTTAGGAGGCTGGAAGCTAGAACTTGCTGGGAAGACTATTTCATAAGAGGGAATTACTGACCAAGAACAACTTCCAGAGAAAGAAAGATTATAAACATCTGTAAGATGAACAATTTCTAGAATCACAGAAGTCTGGAAATTGTCCAAGGTCCTACCAGCCCAAACATACAGACCTTGTTGAATTCACAGAACATTCAGTAGAGACCATAAAGGGCCATAACTTAGAAGTGCGGCAAATTTACTCTCTGCCCTAAAAAGAACGTAACAACAAGTCTTGAAAGGAAACTAACCTGCAATTAATTTAAAGAAGTTCAATTATTTTTAAAGCAAGAAGTCATTCAATAATACTCAATTCATAAAATTCAGTATGTAATAAAAATATGAAGGAGGAAAATGTGGCCCATAAATAGTAGAAAAATCAAGCCAACGGAGCCCATAATTACTAATGTTAAAAGTGAC